AAGGCAGGTGTGTATTTCACTCATCTTGCATTTCACAGCACAATCTAGGAGCTTCCATTGCACTTTCCTGAGCAGAGACATGTCTCCCTCCTTGCCCCATGCTCCCAGGTCCAGCAGCAGGCAATGGTACTCCTCAGTCCTGCTGGGGGTCCCCCCTTGGGACAAAATATGATTTTATGGGAGAAAGTGTTTGGCAATGCTTTTGGGGGTATCAAGGCTTTAGAACCTTCAGTTATATTTACTTTCTTGGATAATCTACCCACTGTGTTTTTATTAAAGAAATCTGTTGCTTGCTGGTAACCCTTGGCTTCCGAGTGGCCAGTCCTTGCAAGGAATTCACTCCAGAAACTTTGAAATATTTAGTTTACACAACACTAATGCTACAGAGAAGGATCCAAAGTCCATAGTGGGACACGTAATATTCAGGTTCTCTAGTCTTTGCTTCTTAACTTCGTTTTTAACTCGTCACCCAATATTTCCCCTGAAGCCAATTAAATACGTTACACTTTCATTCTTATGTTTCACTTCCTTCTGTTTTCCTTGGGAATGTTTTTCTTCTACTTTTTCTAACTTCTTGAGTTGAATGCTCAGTTTGCTTGTTTTATTTGAATGAAAGCAGTTAAGATTATGAGTTTACTTCTAAATAAATTTCCGACACTTAATATATTAATGTCATTTTCATTGTTTTGCAAACCTGTTATTCCAGATTTTAATTTTGCCTTTGACTCAATAATTATTCAGAGGGGAAAAAGTGTGTGTGTGTGTGTTTCTGTTAAAGTTATAAGAAACTGAGGTTTTTAAATTATAGCCAGAGTACGGAGCTTACGTAATTCCTCCTTTGGGGACAAATTTGTAGCCTAGTTTATAATCGATTTCGTCACTATTCCTGAAGTATTTGAGAAGGTATATGTTCTGTGGGGCAAAGTACAGGCCTAAAAGTAAAGTCAAAAATTCAGTCTTATGAATATATGGTTTGAATATGTCTCGGTAGTGACTGTCTTTTCATGTATTTTTCCTGGAACACAGGTTACCTGTCAGATCTGCAAACTCACCTTTTTCAGCTCTGGTGTCTTTGTCCCAGTTTAAGGCTCTAATCTTTATCATCCATATCCATCCTTTTTTTGTCCCATTGTTTTCCACACGTCTTTCTGCTCTGCATTTGAAGAACTTCCCAAGTGTGTGACTACAGCTTTGATTGACTCTTCTGCCGTGTGGATTCTGCCCTTTCTGCCTTGAATACAGATTTCATTTCTGTCACTGGATTTTAGTTCCTTCTATTCTGCATTTCAGCCAGCGGTATCATTTGGGGGTTTTCTCATATTTTATTGAAAACTCGAAGCAGACACTTCCTTAAAATTTCCTCTGGTTTCTATAGCAATTTATTGCCAGAGCATACTTTTCCAGTATTGCTATTAAAACTGACAAGTGGAGCCCCTAGCTGGGCCTGTGCTTAGTGCACCTGCAGACAAGATAATTAAATTAAACCACAGGATGCCTCTGTTACTCAAGATCTGGCACTCAGCGCTGGCACAGCACGACGTAACCCGAAACATCCACTCTCTTGACTAACAATGTTTAGGCCCTGGGGAGATGCTTCTTTACATCTTACCCTATGTTCACGGGGAAAAATGCAACTGCGTCTAAAGGTTTGATGAAAGCTTAATGACTCCTGCTTGGTACAATTTCAGAGTCCAGAGACGCTTTGAGCAGAAAAGAACTTAGGAAAGAGAAAAGACTAACTTGTCAGAGCTTTCCTCTCAGGTAGCTTGAACGCAATAGATTTGAACACAATGAAATATCATTTTCTAGCAGTGCTGAGTGTACCATTCTTATTTTCATGTTTCTACTCATGGTTCTGGAAGTACACAGGAATTAGTACAGTATTTGCCTCAGTTGTAAAAAGCTGAGGAAATGTTTGTAATATTGCATAAATCACATTACATATTACTCTTAAATTTTTATATATGTTTAGACTTCAGACATAATATGATACTAATTCTTTACATTAGCAACAAGATGGACATTGAATGCTAGACGTATGAATTGTAACATTTTCATTTTAAAGTTTTAAATTAAAAATGTTTTAAAATTAATTTATAATTTAACTAAAATTTAAGTTAAATTTTAAAATGAAAAGTTACTTAATAAAATGTAATTAAGCTTTCAAAGCGTAAAATAAAGTGTTTGGATTTATAAAAATAATTTGATATAAAAATTCAATATTCATTCATTTTAATTTGTATTTTGCCTTTTGAATTATTAGATACCTTTGAATATTTTAAAAAAGCTAATTTTTGGAAAACAGAAAATTAATACATTTTTCACATAAATTTATATTTTTGATGAAAATATATTTAAAATTTTGTACTTTGAATATAAGTATGTTTTAAATTCTTAAATATATTGAAAAATCTTGATAATAGTAATATAATTAGTGATTGTATTGAAAGGGAGATAAGAAAAATAAATTTCATGGAATAGTTCTAATCCTTTATGAATTATGTATATGTTTATTATTCATCCCAACATTGTCAGCCCATTAACAGAGCATCTAGACATGTGGAATAAAAATTAAATTCATTCATCTTTGACATTTGGCTAACTTTCAGTTCATACACATTTTAAAATTTTATCCTTTTAAAGGAATGTTTGTCAGAATATGAGGATAGAAAATATTTTAGTTAACAGCTTGTTAGTTTGATTTATAACTTGTAAATATTTATTTAGACCATTGATCTGTGGCTTCCCTGTCTTCTTGTCCCAGGTTGCAACATTCAGAATTTATCCTTGGGTCCCAAGTTGGGTCCCAGGATGGGTCCCAGGTCCTTGAATGGGTAGGAATCCATTCAGGTCTCATTTCTGTCACAGTTGGGGGGTGGGGGTGGAGGGTCCCTCTGGTCCCCCTTTGAGTGCTGCCATCATCCCCTCTAAGACTTTAAGCTGCAGGGAGACCCTCCCCTGGCCCAATTTCCAGCATGTGGTCCTGGGCTGTGGAAGCCTCTCCTCCTACCCAGGCCTCTAATTCTACACAGACATGGTAGTTTGGGTCATCTGAGGCACCTGCATATTTTTGGCCCCAAACGGTACTTCATAAAGTGGTACCCAGAGAATACCCTCCTCCCAGAGTTCAACCTCAACCAGAGCTCCGGCTGCCTTCACATCCCAAGATGCAATGCGCTGCTGTCCCACTGGGGAGGGAAGTCCAAAGCCAGAGGGTATGGGGCATCACTGCGCACTTAGAAAGCTCTTCCTACTTCCTTTCTGTCAGACCTTATCACCCTGTTTCAGAGGGTGGAGTGAACATCAGTAACAAAATTTTCTCTTGCTTCCTTTTTGCTATAGTTGGTGGAAATGTCTCCCAGACTTTGGTGACAAATGATACTCAGATGTGTGGCCTTCATGGGGAGGTGACAGGTTGTCAGGTCACCATTCCGTGGACGGTTAACCCCATCCTTCCTCTCCTGGCAGGTCTCTCTTATTTGTAAGTGACAGAAACTCAACTCAAACGTGTTTACACTAGAAAGGACACTTATTGAATCATAGGGTGGTAGTAAGGGCAAAAGGGTGTTCAGGTTGCAGAAAGGGTGGACCCTGGGGCTGGAATCCTGTCTGGACTCTGATCCCTGTTCAAGGAGGCTTATTCTCTCGGATGGGCCGTATCCACGTGATTCTAAACTGTCCTCCTCTGGCCCCACACCCAAAGTCTACCTGGGAGAAGCAGGGATAAAGAGAGACATTATGTGCCTCCAGATGTGATACCCTGAGAAGGACACACATCACTTATGCAGCATTCTGGCCAGAGATGCATAACCTGTAGCTAATCTCGAGGAAACATCAGACAAAGCCAAATGAAGAGCACTTACAACTCAATAATGAAAAGACAAACAACCCAACTGAAAAAATGGGCAGAGGTTGTGAAAAGACATTTTACCAAAGTTACACAAATAGCCAATGAGCATGTGAAAAGATGATCAACATTATTAGCCATGAGGCAAGTGTAAATCAAAATCACAATGTGATACCACTTCACACCCATTAGGATAGCTTTGATCAAAAAGACAGTTAATAACTCTGTTGGTGAGGATGTGGAGAAATTGGAACCTCCATACATTGCTGATGGGAATGTAAAATGGTACAGCCGCTTTGGAAGTCCAGCAATTCCTCAAAAGTTTAAACTTTAGGTCACCATGTGACCCAGCAATTCCACTCTTTGGTATGTATCCAAAGGAATGGAAACATTTGTCCACACAAAAACTTGTACACGAATGTTCATAGCAGCATTATTCATAATAGCCAAAAAATAGAAACAACTCAAATGTCCACAAGCCGATGAATACATAACCATATTGTGGTATATCCGTACAATGGCATATTATTCAGCCGTGAAAGGGCATGAAATATTGGTACATGCTACAACATGGATGTTAAGTGAAAGAAGTCAAACACAAAAGACCAGATATTGTATGACTTCATTTATATGAAATGTTCAGAATATGCAAATCTATAGAGGTAGAAAGTAGATTATTGGTTGCCAGAGGCTGGAGGGAAGTGGAACAGACAGTGAGTGCTAACAGATATGGGGTTTCTTTTTGGGTTGATGAAAATATTCTAAAGTTGACTGTGGGATTGGTTGCACAGTTCTGTGAAAAATGATTGAATTGTATACTTTAAATGAATTAAGTGTATGGTATTTGAATTATATATTGTGAATTATATCTCAGTAAAGCTGTTACCCAAAAAATGCTGTTCCAGATTTGGCCAGTGGGTACCCCTTTGAGCTGGCTCTCATTTCTATTTGACGTGCTCCAGCATCGTTAATTTTAGACTAGGGAAAACAAAAACAAAAATAGAAACAAAACAACAGGAGACCCCCCCCCCAAAAATATATTTATAAAATAATACATGAGAGGAAAGGGAAACAGCCAGGAGGGGGGCAGTGAGTAAGCGGGGATATTTGGTTGCTCTCTCCAGATTCCTCAGAAGACACTCTCTCCTGGGAGACCCTAGGACCCGCAGGCCTTCCTCTGCTCACCCTCCACTGCGTCTCCTCCCCTCTGAGGATGACGACACTGCTACTCATCTCCTTGGTCAGCTGTCTCGCTGCTGTGAATCAAGCCAGCCTCATCAACCGATGTGACTTGGCCAAGGTGCTGCACCAGGAGGACTTGGATGGCTTTGAGGGCTACTCCCTGAGTGACTGTGAGTGCCATTTCCTCACACCTCACATCCCCTTTCTCCTCCTCTCCCGGTCATGCCCTCCGTGGCCATGTTTCTTTTTCTCTCATTTGTTTTTCAAAGTCAAGTTCAAAAAGCAGCCCTCTCCAAGAAGCCTTTCCCAACATTCGATATTTGTTCCATGATTCTTAACTGAGCACTTATTATGTCCCAGGAACTACTTTAGGTGCTGGGGATTCAGATATCAACACAGCCCCTTCTCTCATAGTGTTCACGTTCTAGGGGAAGAGACAGCAAGAAAGAAACACACAAATATATGAAGTGCTTCCTGGTGGTGATAAATGCTATGCAGAAGAATAAAGCAGTGGGGAGTGATGGGTGACACTGTTCTAGAGGGGGAAGTCAAGGAAGGCCTCTCTGAGGAGGTGACATTGAGCAGTGCTGAATGGAATAAAGGACCTAGTCCCCCAACCATCTGGCGGAAGAGCATTCCAGGCTGAGGGAACAGCCAGTGCAAAGGTTTCGTCCTACTCCATGGTAGAGATAGCTCCCTCTTGCCCAGAATTGTAAGGCACGTCTGCCTTATAACACTCTCTCCTTTCATCTTGCTTTGTGGGTTTTTTAGGTACATATCTTCATTCTTATTCTATAGGCACCTTGAAGGCAGCATCTGCATTTGAGCCAGCTAAATGTCCCTCACTGGGTTTTGCACAGTTTCTGGCACACAGTAGGTGATCATTAAGTGCAGAAATCATGCATGGACAGATGGACGGATGAGTGGTTGTACTGATGGGTGGATGGACTGAAGAATGAGAGGAGAAGCTAATGGGTGTTTCTGGCCCACTAGCCCCATCTAGCCTCTTAGGCTTTGTTCCTTTCTTCTTGTTTAAAAAATTAATTAATTAATTAATTATTGGCCCCGTTGGGTCTTTGCTACTGCATGCAGGCTTTCTCTAGTTGCGGCGAGCGGGGGCTACTCTTCGTTGAGGTGTGCAGGCTTCTCATTGCGATGGCTTCTTTTGTTGTTGAGCACGGGCCCTAGAGCGCGTGGGCTTCAGTACTTGTGGCTCGTTGTCTCTAGAGCGCAGGCTCTGTAGTTGTGGCGCACGGGCTTAGTTGTCTTAACCACTGCGCCACCAGGGAAGCCTGTTCCTTTCTTCTGATTCCTTGTCTCCCTTCCTCCTCCGTCTTCCTTGTCCCTCAGCTTGGCCCCCCTCTAAAAACCCTCTTCTCCCTGTTCTAAGGGCTGTGCCTGGCCTTCGGGGAAAGTCACTTCAACATAACAAAGGTAAATGAAAATACAGATGGCAGCTTTGACTATGGCATCTTCCAGATCAACAGCCACTACTGGTGCAATGATTACAAGAGTCACACGGAAAACATTTGCCAAGTGGACTGTCAAGGTCTGGCCAGGGCCCCAGGGTGGGAGAGGTGAGAGAGATGACCAGGCTCTGCTCACGGGACTTCCCTTCCCACACACAGGCTGGAAACAACCCCAGAGGATTGGTTCAAGGAATCAGGGAATCCCTTTACTGAGCAGAGGGTTGACTCGTGTCCCTAAATGCCCATAGGAGGTTCTGCAGTGTGCTAGCAGGATCCAGAGAAGCTCTGCACAGGCAGTAGCAGTAGAGCAGTGCAGCAGCCAGCATTTATTGAGAGCGTATTATATACTCAGTACTTTACATACATAGCTCATTTCATCCAACTTGCCATGCGGTAGAAACTAGTATGATCCCCACTTTATTGGTGAGCAAACTGAGGCTCATAGAACCAGTGCTGAATGCCAAACTGGTGGGCCTGAAGGCTCAGCTCTCACCACCAAGTAGAGCTGCCTTTGGCTAATGGTCTGACCGAAGGCCAAGTGCAAACTCCCACCTCAGGGCTAATCCAGGAGGCTCCACAGGTCCGTGATTCTGTCCCCCATCTCCTCCTTTGTACTCTGATTAATGGCCCTGGGCTCTTCACCTGAAGAGCCTCCCTCCTTAGGCAGGACTTTTCCTTCGTCTCTGTGCTGCCTCTTTTGGCATTTCCTTTCCCTAGAATCCTCCACACTTGGGGTGAACTACCATCCATTAGGAAGTATGGCAGTCAACAGGCTCAAATCTCAGCCCTCCTGCCCCTCCTGCCCCCACCCCCCAACCACCCCCAACCTCCAGCAGGCATTGTACGGATGTCCAAATGGGCCTCTGAGGGGGAAGACTTGCCTCGTCCGGAAGTTCTCAGCCACTGGGTGGCACATGCCTTGCAGGGAGAGCCAGTCTTCGGGACTGTCCCCTGTGCTCTGACGGGTATTCTCTTTCTCCCTTTCAGAACTGCTGAGCCCCAATCTGCTTTCAATCATCAACTGTGCGAAAAAGATTGTGTCCAGAACAGGGGGGATGAAGAACTGGTGAGGAGGCCATGGTGGGACGAAGTTAGTGGGCAGAGCCTTAAGAGAGATGTAGTGACAGAGAAATGGGCAGTAGGCCAGGACCTGACCTAGAAAAATGTGGGATGTGGCAGGGCTTGGAACTCCGACTTAGAAGACCTGGGATCTGGCTCTTCCTCTGACACCGTATTAAACAAAACTCTTTTGGTTGTAGGAACAGAACAGCTTGAGCTAGCTGGGGGAGATTTATTCTGAGAGGACAAGGTGTCTTGCTGAGCCCACACGAGGGGTGCAGCTGGGCCTCAGGAAGAGGGTGGAAGCAGGGCTGGAAACTTTCCTTTGCAGGTTTCTGCTTCTCTTTGTGCACATTGGCTTCACTACTCCCTCTGCAGACCAGCTTTCTCTGCTCTACAGTCCACCAGACAGACTACGTCTGCCCTGAATCTATGGGCTAATGTCCTAAGCAACCATAGAGACTAGCTAGGCTCAGTCCCAGTCCAAGTGCCTGGCAGGGAGGATCTGATGGGTTCAGCTTGGACCCTGTGTCCCAGCTCCATTCATTCAGCTACAGGCATGGAAGAAATTAGGCAACATAAACATGGCTGCCACGGGCCCTCTCTGCATAACTGGCAGCAACATTTTCTATAAAAAGTGTTGCTGGGCTTCCCTGGTGGCTCATTGGTTAAGAATCCGCCTGCTAATGCAGGGGACACGGGTTCGAACCCTGGTCCGGGAAGATCCCACGTGCCGTGGAGCAACAAAGCCCATGTGCCACAACTACTGAGCCCACGCGCCTGGAGCCCGTGCTCCGCAACAAGAGAAGCCACCGCAATAAGAAGCCCGCGCACCGCAACAAAGAGTAGTCCCCGCTCGTCGCAACTAGAGAAAGCCTGTGTGCAGCAACGAAGACCCAACGCAACCAAAAATAAATAAAATTGATTCTTAATTTAAAAAAAGAACCAATCCTCTTTCTCTCCACAGGGTAAAATGGAGGTTGCACTGTGCAGGCCGGCCACTCTCCTACTGGATGACAGGATGCCACCTGGCATGAGACAGGAAGCAGGCCTGTGGTGGAGTCATTCCAGAACTCCTGTCCTCACTTGGGAATCCTTCATTTCTTCTTCCTCTTGCCTCCACTTCATGTTAATTTCTTCCTTTCCCATTTACAAATAAAACTGACCAGAGCCTCAGGAATAAATGGTTTTCTAGGACTTCCTCCTTGTTCCTATCCAGGCCCAGGCCCCTGGTTCCTGACTGTCATTTGCAAACCAAGAAGACCACGATGAAGAATTTTCTATATTTTTGGAATTATTAAAGCATTCCTTGTGCAAAGAATGTGTTAATTTAGTCGTGATTAATCCCAAGTATATTTGAGTACCTAATAGAGTATGAGTGTGCTAGGTACTAGAAAAAGGATGATAAATCTGTAAATATTGTTCATGAGGTGTTCATAATCTATCTGGAGAAGTTTATAGATCTTCTTCATACACAGATGATGGATACAATGAATAAATGGATACAAACAATGAATGCAATGGATAATGATATGGATAATAAATCTATAGTTACTGGTTTGAAACAGTATCAAGATCCAAGTAACTCTTCCAAAGTCTACAATTCTTGAAGTAAAAGAGCTCAGAAGTAGGTAATGGGTGGGGCTAAGTGTCTGATATATTGAGGTGGAGAAAGTCGTGGTGGGGTTGGAGAGATGTGCTCGGTGATTTGGCGGTACTTTAGGAAAATGGGCTAGAAACCAGCTTTTTAAGAATTTCATACTAGACTCTTGATGGCTTTAATGTTATACCTTTGTTTGCATATTTAAGACTCATGCAAACACTCAAGTCGAAGGACTGCATCTTTGGTGGTCATTTCTCACACAGAGTCGGGAAATCTAAGTTTTTAAAGTTCAGTGGATAGTTAGCGCTAACTACTTAGTACTCTAGTCTCCTCTGGGAGTTTGAAGATGAAGCCAGCTGCTATAAAGATGTCCGCACCATTCGATCCTGTAAACTCACACTTTGGACTCTACGCTAAAAGTACACTTGAATAGAAACGCTAAACTCCAAAACTTCCGGGCGCGCGGGTTGCGGAAGGGGAAGTAGAGGCAGAGGCAAGCCCCGAGTGGGAGGGGCGAGGGAGAAGTCCGAGCACCGCCCCCGTCCCAGTCCCACCCAGCTGGCTCCGCCCCTCAGGCGCCCTTTTTAAAAAAAGCGCGGGCGCGCGTGCGCAGGCGCAGTCCGCTTGCGCCCCGAGCTGCGCACGCGCGGTAACGGTAGAATGGCGGAGTTGGTACCTTTTGCGGTTCCCGTCGCGGGTGACAAAACCTTGCTGGTGTGGGAGCTGAGCTCTGGACCCACGGCAGAGGCCTTGCAAGTGAGGCGAGCCGGGGCGGAGGGAGGGGTGGAGGAAGCCGCCCCGCGCCCCAGCAACTGGGCGGCCCGGGGTACTGCTTCAGCACGTCATCTGCCTGTGGTCTCCGCTGAGAGGAATCTTAGTTCTAGAGCCGACCTGAGCAGTCAGCTCGCCCCCACAGATTTTTGAGAGATAGTTCGCAAGAGACGGCATTGCCTCCTAATGCTTCTCGAAGCTTAGGATTTCAGAGGGAAACTTGTTCATAAAATGAGAAGTGTTTGGAGTTGCGGGCTCACCACAGTTGCCTGTGGCGAAGGGCTGGGGGAATATAAGGGAATGGGCGGTTTGTTTTCCTGGGCGTGAAATTTCCTGCACTTACTTAGCATGGGAGCACCCTACAGCACTCTCTGTTCACAGTCTTCTCCCAGTTTGGCCTTCTGTACTCGGTCCGAGTCTTCCCAAACGCAGCAGTGGCCGGTCCTGGGTTCTATGCCATCATCAAGTTTTATTCAGCAAGGGATGCGCACAGAGCCCAAAAGGCATGCGACCAGAAGCAGCTTTTTCAGACATCTGCAGTGAAGGTGGGTCCAAATGTGGAATTCCTCGCTCTACTGGGATGAAGTGCTGAATTTAAAACTAATAGGCCATCGGGAATTCCCTGGCGGTCCAGTGGTTAGGACTCTGCACTTTCACTGCTGAGGCCCCGGGTTCAATCCCTGGTCGGGAAACTAAGATCCCAGTGTGGGGAAAGAAAAAAAACAAAAGGCCAGCGTTTGTACAGCACTGTGGTGTACAGAGTGCTCTCAGATGCACTGCTCCCAATGATCCCCCAGTTCCCCAGATCTTTCTTTGTTTTTTTTAGATGAAGAAACTCGAACTCAGGATGGTTAGGTGACTTACTTAAGGTTCATGACAGTAAATGTGGAAACTAGAGGCCAAACCCAAACTTAACTGATGTTAAACCCCATGTCATTTTATGCTGCCCCTTAATTTAAGAAATCTTCACAAGAGTCTTCCTTATATTTAATTTTATGTGGGTTTCAAATGTGTGAGGTTGACAAACTTTTTTCATTAATTAATTAATTAATTTTTGGCTTCGTTGGGTCTTGTTGCTGCGCGCTGGCTTTCTCTAGTTGTGGAGAGCGGGGGTTCCTCTTCCTTGTGGTGTGTGGGCTTCTCACTGCGATGGCTTCTCTTGTTGCGGAGCATGGGTTCTAGGCACGCAGGCTTTAGTAGTTGTGGCTTACGGGCTTAGTTGCTCTGCTGCGTGTGGGATCTTCCCGGATGAGGGGTCGAACCCGTGTCCCCTGCATTGGCAGGCGGACTCTTAACCACTGTGCCACCAGGGAAGTCCGGGGCTTGAGGAACTTTTGTCAGATGTAACATAAAGGAGGCTTCATCATCGCTCTCAAACTGCCTATTCAGAACTCCCTTCACATTCCAGAAAATGGTTAAAATATTCTTTAATGCATTGTAGAAACCTTATTCCATATTAACATGCCATCCAATTTTACTTCCCCAGAATTAACATTTCATTATGTGCCTCCATTCAGCCACCATTCCTTTTTCAAGGACCTTTTCAATTCCTCTGAATAAGTGAGTGAGGCTTAGATTTCCCAGACCTTTCCCTTTATAATTGTGTGTCTTCTCTGATTGGCTTCTTGCTCTGGCTACTTCCTACTGACCTTGCTGCCTGTTCTCACCCATATTTCTTTACTCACTGATTTCACCTTTATTGAATCTGAGAACTCTCCTCAGATGTGACTCCAGGTACACTACCTCCCACTTGTGTACCCCGTTTAACACCCTCTTCAGTCCTGGCTGTACTCCCTGGGATTGAAATGATTTTGTGTCAGGCATTCTTTTGTTTGCAGACCCTGCGACCATTTCACATAACCACTCAGATATTACAGATGGTCCTGGAAAGTTTATGAAACAGTTACTTGGTGTCCGTTGTGAGTAATGAGTTCTTTTCTTATATTGGACATTAAGACTATTCCATAAGCTTAGGTTCTGAGATTTTCACAGCATAAAGCTCGGCACTGATAGAATGTTCTACAAGTCACTATAGAGTTGAGAGGAAAGGGCATTCGTATTAGATTTCCTTATTTAATGCAGAGCCTTAGTTTACTGCCCACACGCCCGAAATTGTTACCTACTTTAATTATGCGTTCTTTTAAATTTCTATTTATTTATTAATTTATTTGGTTGCACCGGGTCTTAGTTGCAGCAGGCAGGCTCCTTAGTTGCGGCTCGCAGGCTCCTTAACTGTGGTGTGCGAACTCTTAGTTGCAGCATGCATGTGAGACATAGTTCACTGACCAGGGATTGAACCAAGGCCCCCTGCATTGGGAGCATGGAGTCTTAACCACTACACCAGCAGGGAAGTTCCAATTATGAGTTCTTTTATTCATTGGCAGTTATACATACTTCTTATCTTTTTTCCCTTGTATTTTTTATAAATACAGAAAAGATAATAACATCTTAAAATAAAATGAAGGAAAGGCCTAATGTATCTGAGTTTTTCTCAGTAGCACGAAGGGATATGTTTGCCAACAAGAACTGTGGCAAGGTTATCCCATATGTCAACTGTCTCTACTACCCAGGGGCTCAGAGCCCTTCTGAAGCTTCCTAATTGTCCAGGACAGCTCCATTATGACTCAACGTACAGGGCCTTGCCTCCCATGTGACACTCAACATTTAAAAATTAGTCTTCATGTTCAGTCCTTTGCCTCCTATAGAAGGGCCTGAGCGGAAAAAGTAAATATAGATCCCTAGAAAGGGGATTCCGATTGGTACTGAGTTTTTTCCTAGAGTCCATGGCACTTGGGCTTAGGGTTTTAAGTCAGAGGCAGGGCTGTTAGTGAATGGAGGGGAGGAGGCTCCACCATCCACCTGAGTGGGTGATGGTTGAGGAGAGGCCAGATCACCTGCACTACCACCAAATCTATCTCACTGTATGAATCCAGCCCTTTACGCACAGGAGAGCAGGGTCTGTAGCAGTGTAGCCTCAGCTTGTCCACTTGAAATCTTTGAGTAATATGAGATTTGTGCCACGTTCTTGGTTTGCATTTCCCGTCGAGTATTTTAGGAACTTCCAGAATAGATCTGAGCAGTAAAAATGAGCCAAGCCAGGGTATACCTACAACAGAGACTTTCAACCGTACCCCAGTGTTGTGCCTGCCCTTAATCACTAAGATAATGATCTAAGAATCACAGATGCATTTTTAGTTTTAAACATATAACCTAGAAATCAGTTATTCAGACAGGCATTTTAAATTCACCTGTTTTGGTTGGATTTAGGGTCATTATCATTCCCTATGAAAAGGAAGGTAACCCAGAAGCTTGCTATTCAGAAGGCTATGAGAGACGCATTCCAGAAAGTGCTGATTGTGGTTTTAGGTAAGAGCTTTCTGACTGTCCTTGAAGTGCTTCAGTTTCAGTGAGCAAACAAACGTATTTGAAAAGTTAATTGGATGAAAATAATGTTTATCTAAACATTACATACTCTTTCATCACCAGATGCTTTCACAGCAGCAGTCTTAAACATTTGTTCTTTGTGGCATTTATGAGAAAAACGACAGCAAATATTATTGTCCCCAGTGTTTAGATGTAGAATGACTTGCCTCAGTTCATACAGAAAGTGTTTGATCCAGTTCTTCCTCAATTGCTTGCTTATCATACAGAATAGTGTAGTGATTATAAGCCTTGGACACCTGTGTTTGAGTCCTAACTTTGTCTCTTAGATTTATGTGTTGTTGTTGCAATTTTAGATTTTTCTAGCCAGAGACATTTGAAGGTATTTAATATCTCTAAGCTGCAATTTCTTTATCTGCAAATAGGGTTAGTAATTCAGCTTATCACCTAATGGGGGATACTGTAAGAGTAAATGAGATGATGAATGTAAAAAGCTTAGAACTATGCCTGAAACACAGTAAGCAGACAAAATATATGGACTATTATTATTATCATTGTTGTTTTCTTGTTGAAGAGTTTATTAGATTATGTTTTTGAAATCAATTTAATTTCAGTTTTCGTTTCTGATATATTGGGTGAATATGATTCTTATATAATAATCGGCTACGTTTTTGTGAGCCTTGAAAGTGGTCATGCTACTGAATAGCGTTGATTGTGTTCCCTATCGAGTTATACAGCGGTGAGAATGTCACAGGCTATGCCCAAAGGAAACTTTATGATTAGTAGATTCCCGGAACAGAATTGCTCCCCTGCTTCACAGCCCTGCAGGCTTAGAGACTGATGAATCCTAGCTAAGTTGTCAGAGACCTTATTTGTTTGTAAGAGTTGACCGTGCATTGGTCTTGGCCTTCCAGCCTGGGCAGTCCTTCCAGTGAAGTTTGACTTCCCTGGTCATCAGGCAGAATCTCCACCAGCTGTCAACTCTGGGTAACAACCTTTAAGAACCAGACTAAATGTCTGGGTTGTTTGTCCTTGATATGCCAAGGTATTCCTTATATGTACTGAAAACTCCTTAGACCAAAAAGCCTGGTGGCTCTAGCTTGCCTTGAGGAAAGCTGTATTGTCCAAAAGGTACATGGGCCAGTTTCTGCCAGTAGAGTGTTCCAATGCTCTCTCTGTCTCTGTCTCTGTCTCCAAAGCTTTGTTCATTGTATCTGGTAGAATTTTGGTGCCAAGGAGTAGGCACTTGCCTTGCTTCTAACATGAAGTATGTATTATAGTCCAGTGGTATCTATCCCAGGTTTGAACTCACTTTGACCCCCACCTAATGCCTTCCTATTTCATTGTATTGTGATTGAACATTTTTGTTTGCACGGCTTTTAATTTCTATGTCATTATGGCTTAGTTCTTATTTCTAAGATCATAAAGGTTTTTGATCCAAAGTTGATACTTGTTATATATTTTTTCACAAATAATTATGATAAAAAACGGAAGTGTCAGATGAGGGAACTTCTAGGAAAATGCTCTTATTTTCTGCTTTTAGAAATCAAAAGAATGTCTAATTATTGGGTGCTACCATTGTATACAGGAAGTTTTAGAACAAGAAAAGTTGTGAATTGATCCTCGTTAGCTTTATTTCAGAAAGTGGTAAAATAGCTGTGGCATATAGACCCTGTGAAGAGGTCACAGATGCTAGAACCGAAGAGGAACTACAGGATTTAATTCAAGTATGTGGAGATAAAAACTCAAGGGGTACACAGCCAGTGTAGCCATAATTCAAAACAACCAGCAGGATTTGGAAGACTTTGGCATGTGTACTCAGCTCTGTCATCCTTAGGAAAAGGTGAAACTCTGAAACTGCTTTTGAGGCAGGGAATTTCTAGGACTTTTTCAAGTCCCGAGCCTTGTCTCTGGCCCCTTATTTGAAGTTTGGAGAGCAGGATTGAGGGCCATCAGTGTACGTCTGCAGTCGTGGACACAGGAGAAGACACAGGCCTTTTAGAACTCCCCTCAAATAGAATTGCAGGGATTTGGGAAGAAAGTAACTATGGCCTTAAGTGTGATTATGCTACAGTGTTTAAAAACTATTCATGCCTTTCAAGTAAGGTATATTACCCAGATCTCATATACATCTTGTGTTAAATATTTTGCCGAAGAACCTTTCTGTAAACCAATTATATGGATGCCTCAAATTAGGGATTAAGTTGTCAATGTAATTTCTAAAAGAAAACATTAATGTACTGCATATAGGATTTTTATTAAAAAGGAGCACAAAATGTGTTTCATGTCACTGAGAGCTGAATTTGGGGCTAGATTTCTGATGATTTAACTCACCCCAATGTTGCAAAGTTTGTTTTGAAGGGAAGAAAGTAGAGAAATAAAAGGTGGTTATGTTCTGAAAAATGTAAAAATTTTGAAAGTTTTTCCTATACAATATAATCATTTTAATTCAATTTAAACCAGTCAAGGAAACTTCAGACGTATCCATGTTTGGGCTTTAAGATGTCTAGCTTCCTGTGAAATGTGAGAGGAAAGGATTCCGTATTGATACTCAAGATTTCGGAAACCTGATTATAACAACTGATCCATTCCTTACATGAGGCCAATCTTGGAATCAGTTCCATTTAGAAACCATTCTGGGCTAGGCACTGGAAATAAGATGAAGCTCCTTCTCTCTTGGAGTTTAGGTGTTAAAGGTGTACCAGACAATTAAAAAGGACTAAAATTGAATAGATTATGAAAATGACTGTGAAGAAAGTAAATAGGGTGCTAGTTACAGTATTTCAAGAAAATTACTTAACATGCCGACTTTAACATTCTAAGTGTCTTTTCCATGTGTGCACACAGGGTAGACATCTGAAAAGTGACACTGTAGTTTTTTCTAGATTAATGGCTCTGTTGAGACAAGGTGGGATGGGGGAAGTTTGCCCATGCTAATGTAAAGGGCCATTCACTTGGTTTTAGACTCTCTTTCCCAGAATGAATTGCTCACCTGCCCCAAACCCCTTCTACAGAAGTTCTGGAGTCATCACTGATTCAGTGGTAACCCCTAATAACAGAGTGGTGAATGAATAATGAGACGTGAATACTGAGAGTTTGGAGGAAATGGCAACATTTTATTTTATTTTATTGTTTTTTATTTTTTTTTACATCTTTATTGGAATATATTTGCTTTACAATGGTGTGTTAGTTTCTGTTTTATAACAAAGTAAATCAGTTATACATATACATATGTTCCAATATCTCTTCCCTCTTGCGTCTCCCTCCCTCCCACCCTCCCTATCCCACGCCTCTAGGTGGTCACAAACCACCGAGCTGCTGTGACAAAGGGAGAGATTGGCATGGACATATATAGGCAACATTTTCGAATAACTGTAAGGAGTGTTCCCCTCCCGACACCCTAACTGGTGCTCATTTTGCTGGTCGGCTACTTTTCTTCTCAGCCGTGTGGCCAAAGGGAGGAAGAATGTCTCTCAGACTTCAGCTCTGAGGAGGAAGAGTTCAGATTGCCAGAACTGGATTAGCACTTTTGAATTTCCCAGAATGCCACGTCCTGTGGTTTCCTTGGGAAGCTCTGAATCCTTCCTAACCCCCCTCCCACCCCCTGGGCTGCTGGAGTTTGGGGCCACTCGGGTCTGCAGCCCAAATCTTGCCTCATTGTTTGGGGCCAGGGAGGGCAGGGAGGTGTTGGGAAGAGGGCCCGGCAGGAGGTAATTGTCGCCTTTGCAAGGGGAAGGATGGCTTGCGCCCTGGGGACTCTGGAAAAAAGGCCCACTCTGGTGGCGCGGATTGGATCTCCGCACGAACCTAATAAAGGTGGCGTAACTAAAGATGTCATAAATAACGGGTGGAACGTTGGGCGGGGGAGGGGCGCGCGGTTAATAACGTGAGCGCTCGCGTCGGTGCTGGCATAGCGGTTCAGCTC